ATATGGAATCCAGTCAAACTAAACACTTGTGCAAGTGATCATTGCACCATTAAGTCTGATGTTCTACTGCCTATGGAGATCAGGAATAGTATGATTTTGTTTTAAAATTTTCAAGGGATGTAGGAAAAAATATCTATTATGAATTGAGCAACTGATTCCAATATTTATATTTGTTTTAGATTCGAACTTCTTACTTTTTATGTTTTAGTACATTATTTTAAAATCTCTAAAACTTATCATCCATAAAATGCAAATTTTGTCTATTTTGATTTTTTTAATAATTACGTACTCTCCTTATGGTTTCAAGTAATATACAAGACCGAAAATAATATTTATAAGTAAACAATAAATGAGTATCTTTTATTTTTGAATAGGATTTCACATTTATATATGTACATTAAAAAAAAAATTGTTTCATAAATGTATTTTTATTTCAAGTTTATATTTCATTGCAGCTGTACTTTTATTTATTGTGCTGAAAAAAACCGTGAGGTTAGCAGCATGAACTTCATACATTTGCCATAAACTGTCATGCTTGTTGGGGTCACTGTTGTTAAGTCCACTGCAATGATTTTCTGTCATTATTGTAGATATGATAGTAAGAAAGCTTTTTGGTATTTGAATGTCATTTCTTTGAACTTTCAAACAAGTTTATTTCAACACATGTCCTTGTATTTTGTTTCACTACACAGACAAAATTTTAATTGCCACTACTATTGAATGTATGTAATAGCTTACTGTACAGGGTGGTTTGAAAAACACTGTCTGACCCTAATTACATGATACATACTGTTACAAGAGATTATCAAAGGATACAAACATCATAAGTTACAAAGAAAATCACTTTCATATTGTAAAATCCAGGGAACAGTGTTTCATCACGTGCTTTGCTTATCATCATATGATTTGTCAAATATGAAATACAGTGATGGGAATAACAGAGTACTGAAATTTACACCTTCAACTAGGATTGGCTAAACATTTTACAGCTGAGGTTTAACATCCCCAGATGCTGTTTTATAAGGAAAATAAACTAGAAATTTTTTTTTCCTTAGAGGGTGCTTATTTATAGTCTCAAATGTATTTTGGGATTTTTTTTATTAAAATTTTTTCCTTCGAACTTCATTAAATAATAGAATTTAGTACAAATAATTGAATGTTATGCTACTGTTTACAAGAATAAAATTTGAAGACCAATAAAAGATAAATTCTCTAATTTTTACAATTCACAAATGCAATTTTTGCCATCACAATAAGACAAAATGGCCCCTGTAGGTAAGGGCTTAAGCCGATAAGATTTACCCCATCAAGTGGTCCCTCAACCATCAGGTTTTCTGGTGGCTTTGCAGTCAGTGGGGTACTCCTCATCTGGATACTTTTGCCACTTCTCTCAACACCAAGTTACCTCTTTTTTTTTATCTCTGGCCCTGGCAATGGATGCTCTGTCATGACTGGACCAATTGGTACCTTTATGCCTACCTTCCTGTCTGGCTCCTTTCCAGGGTGATTTTTGGTCATTCATTTGAATCTGTGTCTTGTACTTCTGATTGTTCCCTACTGGCTGGCACGACCTTGGTTTCTCCTTCAACTCCAAATGATCCCTCCATTACTTCTGCCTCTCACTCCTTCATCCTTCCCTTCACACCCTTTTACATTATGCCTGGCACTTATCCAGTAACTTTCATGGAGATCTGGATTGTCTGTGCGTGTTGTTTCCTTTTTAGCCCATTCCACTCGCACTTACTTCATTGCAGTTTATCAGTGTAAGTGCCATGGGATGACCTCTTCTAGGCCCACTGTTCCTCTCCTTATAGATTTTCTTACCTGGCTATTTAACCATGGGACTTCTGTCTCTTCCACTGAGGGTTATTGAGCAGCCTTGCCCAATACCTTCCATTTTTCCAGGTACCGTATTGTGTTTTCCTCTCCTACCATCTCCCTTTTACTGCATTCCTTCCGGATTTGTCAACAGTCTTGTCAAGCAGTTCTTTCAGATTGGAATGTCAGTATTGTTCTTCACTTTCTCACACTCTCTCTCTTTTTGAACCATTGACCTTCTGTTCCATGTATCACCTATCTCTTAAGACTTACTTCCTACCCCTTTTAGCCTATGGACATTGTTGGTCAGATATCTTTGCTATCTATGTTTCATATACTCTATTCCAATCTTCTTATGTTCTCCTTCATCTAGATTGATCTTTTTTGCCCAACACTTTGGCAGATCTGAGGGATATTTGTCATTCTGCTTATTTCCCTTCCCTCCATTTCCCACATTTATTCTCTGTCTGATCCAGATAGACTTCTATGTCCTGTCCATGCTTTTCATTATTATATTGCCTGCATGATGTCCTTCTGTAGTTCCTGATCCTTCCTTTTCATTCCCTGGAACCTTTTCACATTACTTGACCTTCCTCCTCCTAACCATATTTTTGGGTTCATCAGCTTATCAGACTGGTGTATTCCTCCTTGTTTCCTTCTTCCTGAAATTTGTTCCAGGTAATGCCTTATCAGATATGGCACCTAACCTTTTTCCTAGTGTCTCGCCTACATCATCCATTGGAAGAAATTCTTCAGTCCAGTATGTGGACAACACCTCACATGTTCATCTTCCACTACCTTCATTGGGTGGCTGTTTCTTCCTCATTGGGTACCACCTTCTGCTATACTTCAAACATTGATTCGACTGTGACTTAGTAAGTTTGCTTTTTCCTATATGTTACCTTTGCTACAGTGGCATTCCCCTTTTAGGTGTAGGATTCCACTCAGTGGCAAACATTGCCTGTCAAGGTATGCTACTTATTTATCCACTGCAAAATTCCGCACTGTCCATAAGTCAATCGGCTGCCTAGTGACTTAGCTGCTCCATATCCTTGTGGTGGATCCTTGAGGTTGATGTTACACGGTCTCAGTTTTTCTCCTCCTGCAACTGTAGTTGCTCAGGACATCAGCTAGTGACCAATGTGCTCCAGCTTCTGTACAGTCCTATCTGGGGGATGACTTTGCATGGGTTGCATCCTACTACTCCAGGTGCTTCACCTTGGTGAGGTTGGGACTGAGAGGTGACGTTGAGTGGAGTAGCATGACAAGGGTTGTATGGGATGCCCCACCAAGATTGTTTTCGTGTGGAGGCTGATCCCACCAATCTTAATTTATAACCATGGCCAGTAATGCACACTGCTGAGATGGGGTGTTCCACGAGACTACTAGATTTTCCTCACATGGCCATTCCAGACTGTACTAACCCATGGACTTTCATGGGTAAAATAGACAGGAATTGCTGCCCATCCATGCTGTTCCTTTGGTTGAATAAATCAGGGGTGGTCTGCTTTTTAGAAGAGAGATTTTGAGGTCACCTATTGCACTGTCTTTGGTGTCTGCATTCCTAGAAACTCCCCACCACATCCCCCCCCCCTTTGTCTTCTAATGGAGTATGGGATTCCTTGCCACTTAGCAGTTCATAGCCACTGTAGTGGTGGACTATGGAGGCACCCTCCTGATTATGCTCAATTCCATTCAGTAGAGAGTAGGGCAGTGGTGTTCTCACAGTATAGATAGCATAGATCCTCCCCATGAATCACAGTCATATAATAAAGGGTTTGAGTAGATTCACCACATTACAGTTCATCCTTCTGGTTGGGATCCCTCATCTTACCATTGACTAATGTTGGTTCCCAGTGGGTGGTTTTGGACTCAAGCTGAACCAATCAACATAAGTACTTGCATGTGTTAGACCGATTCCTCATCCTACCTTGGTTATGGGATTTTGCCTCATACTCCACCTCCCTGCAGTTGGTCTTGGAGGTTGATGTTGTGCAGATTCAGCTCAATTCACCCCAGATCTGTGGTTCCTCGGGTAGTTGGCTGGTCATCCATGCACTCCATCTTCTATGTGGTCCTATCCAGAGGATGATGTTGTGCAGAGAATATGTCGTCTGTATGGTACTCCATCTCAGTGATGTTCATTCCCAGAGGCTGTTGCACAGAGTGGATCTGGTCTGATTGT